TTTTTCCATTATAAAAAGTACCAAACATTCCTGTTGTTTTTTTATTTTACATAAAGAAACTTAAAATTTGTGCCTCTGTCCGTTCTTTTTTATTTTCTTAGGACAGGGTCTTGCTCTGCTGCCTAAACTAGACATCTATGCAGTGACATCTTCATAGCTCATTGCAATCTCAGACTCCTGGGCTCAAGCAATCCTTTTACTTCAGCCTCCTTTGTAGCTGAAACTTAAAGTGCACAGAAAAATTGGCTAATTTTTCTGATTTTTATAAAGACAGGGTCCTGCTCTTACTCAGGCTAGTCTTGAATTCCTGACCTCAAGCAGTTCTCCTGCCTCCACCTCCCAAAGTACTAGGATTACAGGCATAGGCCACCATGACCAGCCAGTCTAAACACCTTTTTGATTTGTATTTTTGCTTTTATACAGTGAAAGATTTTGTGATTCAGAAACCTAGTATCTTTACTTCTCTTTTTCCTGTAGTGAATTTGTGGGGATATTTTCTTTTATATCTAACTCTTCAGTCTGGGTGATATTTATTTTGATATGTGGTTTGAGAAGAATGTCTGAATTGATATACTTCTAACAGCCTATTCCTTCAACAATATTTGTTAAATAATCCTTTTTTTCCCATTTTTCCCCAAACAAAAAAGTAGTTTATTAAAGAACTAATTAAGTGAGTCAAAAATTTTGTCTGAAGTAGGAAACCAATTTTATTTATTTTCTATTAAATCACAACTGTGTACATTAATGCAGTCATGGGATACAATGTGCTTGTTTTATATACCATTTGAAATATTTTCATCAAACTGGTTAAAAGCCTTCACTGCATTTTCTTAATTATTGTGTTAAGATATTTATATTCTATACTTAGTAAATTTAATATGTACCCTTGTAAAATGCACCATAGGTGTGGTCCCATCAATTACCCTCCCTCCACCATCCTCCCCCATCCCTTCCCTTCCCTTCCTTTCCTTTTTCCCCTTCTTCTTGGGCTATAGTTGGGTTATAGCTGTTTCTTAGTAGGGCTGAGTACATTGGATACTTTTTCTTCCATTCTTGAGATACTTTGCTAAGAAGAGTATGTTCCAGCTCCATCCATGTAAATGTGAAAGAGGTAAAGTCTCCATCTTTTTTAAGGCTGCATGATATTCCATAGTGTACATATACTACAATTTATTAATCCATTCACGGGTCAGTGGGCACTTGGGCTTCTTCCATGACTTAGCAATTATGAATTGGGCTGAAGTAAACATTCTGGTGCAAATATCTTTGTTATAAAGTGATTTTTAGTCTTCTGGATATATACCTAGTAGAAGAATTGAAGGAGATCCCTAAGTGATCTCCAAACATCTTTCCAAAAGGAACGTATTAGTTTGCATTCCCACCAGCAGTGCAGAAATGTTCCCTTTTCTCCACATCCACACCATCTCTGGTTTTGGGATTTTGTGATGTGGGCTAATCTTTCTGAGGTTAGATGATATCTCAAAGTGGTTTTGATTTGCATTTCTCTGATGATTAAGGATGATGAGAATTTTTTGATGTGTCTGTAGGCTGTGCGTTTGTCTTCTTCAGAAAGTTTCTCTTCAAGTCCCTTGCCCATCTTGAGATGAGATCACTTGTTCTTTTCTTGCTAATATGTTTGAGCTCTCTGTGGATTCTGGTTATTAAACCTTTGTTGGAGACATAACCTGCA